ACCCTATGCCTTGTTATAATTCCTTAAATTATAAAAAGGTATAAAAAGAATTAAAATTTGACTCCTGAAAATCCTTAGGATTCCATAATAATTTGGTATTCAGGTAGACTGACATTCGATAGAAAAATTAAAAGTATCCGTAAAACACGGATTCTGGATTCTAAAGCGAAAAATAAATCGAACAAGGACAGCAAAGGAATCCAAGAAACAAACAAATATTTATTCACACTACTGTCTTGGTATGTCTTTTAAACTGCTAACTAGATTGAACTGTGTGACTATTGTCTGGATGCTGGAGTCAAGGACAAGAACACCAGAACTGAAATTAAAAACAAAACAAAAACCAAGATAACACAATAGAAAAAGCTGTGAAGATACTAACTTTTATACTTAGGCCAAACCTGAATAGGGTATTACACAAGTACATGGGTTACTTCATTCAGTAAGACCTCTTTTAAAAATAGGCTTTTTCTTGAATTGGACAAACTGTAAAATGTTTCTATACATATTTAAACTTAATGTCAAGTGTTGAACCAAACATGAAGTAGATCTGAATGTTGATAAACCCAATATCAAGTCGTTCTGTCTATAGCTATCCCAAGCTTCAAGTAAGTTTAAATACAGTTAAAGTTGATACTAAATAGATCTTAATCCAGTTAAAACAAGTACCAAATAATTCTTTTCAGTTAAACCAGGCCCGGTATGGCTAGGTGGTTCGTGCGCTCAACTCGCAATCTGCGGGTTCGAATCCGCATCCCACCAAACATGCTCGCCCTTTCAGCCTTTTTTTTTTTACCAACGAATAGTAGAATTGACCGTCACATTATAACGCCCGTAGCTCAAGAATTGACGGGGGTGATGATTAGCTACCTTCTCTCTAGTCTTTCACTGTTAAATTAGGGACGGCTAGAGCGGATAGCCCTCGTGTAGCTTTGCGCGAAATCCATAACAAGACTAAAACTTCGAGAAACTCTCCTCACGCCTATAAATATAATCAACGCGACGCGCCAAAAGACAGTGTATATTAATGGTTTTCTATAGTTGGTGTGCTATAAACCTCGGAAGCTATAACTGTGATTTTTATAACGCTTATTAATCGGGAATTTCAGCTATTTGACCAGGAACGTTTATAGATTTCGAATATTACAAACTATTTAACTTCAGCGAATTCACATCAGACACGAAATGTTTTTACGAAAACATTATATAACTGCAGCGGTGGACAAGTGGGCGTGTGGCCGGCGAAGACCAAAACTAGCTAGTTCCCTGTTAAGTGAATTGTATCTACATTTATTCAAAATTAATTCGCTCATCGTGAACTCTCGATAAGAAATCAAGGAAGTTCCAGACCAGATAGAGGACTAAATATTGTTTGTAAGTTTGTAAAACGTTTGTACATAGATCATTATTTGTAATAACCGTTATTATAAATTGTGTTATTGTTTGTATTAAAGACACTGTGTGTATCAATCTTGTTGGCAAGTGTCATAAATTGGATACATATCGAAATTATTTAATTTCTAGATCTCAATTACGATTAAACTCAGTTTCAGGCTATTCGAAATTATAATACGTTTGGTAATGATTTGGAGACTCGTCCAGGATAAATTGTAATATGTAACATGTAGAACAGATCAGGAAACGCTTCCTAATTAGGTATAACAGTTCAGGAAACACTTCCTAATTAGGTAGAACAGTTAAGGAAACACTTCCTACTTCGGTAGAACAGTTCAGAAAACACTTCCTAAATAGGTAGAACAGTTCAGAAAACACTTCCTACTTCGGTAGAACAGTTTAGGAAACGCTTCCTAATAAGGTGGAATAGTTCAGGAAGCCCTTTGTAGTTAATTAATACCAGAACAGCTCATAAAACACTTCCTAGGTACTCAGTATCATAATAGTTCAGGAAGCACTTCGTAGTTAGTTATTATCGGAACAGTTTAGGAAACACTTCCCAGTTAGACAGTATCGGGAATAGTTATAAAACTATATTTTAATTATTCAGTATCGGAACAGATCCCAGGGGTATTCTAGTTCGGATCTTTCTGCGACATTGCGTTTTACTGTATGTTTCACCATCTTTGTCTTATAATACAATAACATGATTGTTTTTGATGGTATTTTATGTAAGAATGTGACTTTCTGTATCAATACACAGAGTGGTTACGTACTCAGTACAGGTATTTGGAACAATCTCTAGGACGAATCGTGCAATTCGCCACGACGAACTACTTTA